GGTTCGGGTTTGGCGCTTCAAAGTTTAGGGCTTTAAGGCTTAGGGTTTTGGGCTTGAGGTGTAAGGTGCTTGGATAAGGTTAGGAATCAACCTCCTTAATGACTAAAGGATAAGGCAAACCCTCAACAAGTTAAAGGTTTGCTGTACCTGGCTCCTAAATCCTAACTTCATACTTCCTAAACCCCAAACCCCCAATTAGTCAGAAATCCACTTTGTAAAGCAACCACAAGGAGGAAGACAAAAAAAGGTAGGCCTTCTCGGCTGCCAAATTCCCCGAAGCGCCGGCGATGATTTGGATCCGAGAGGCCGCCTTGGTCATGGCCTCGAGGGTGCTGGCCTTAGTGTCGCTGGTTCTTGTAGGGAATGGAGGAATGGGGTTTTGGGGACCACAAATAGGGACCTTAAGGGGCTATCATAGGGATCCATTCCCCCATTCATGTAAGCACCTTTTCGATGCTAGGCTTAAGAAAGGAAAGAAAACACACACAAGATATTCGGCCAAGACATTAAGTGTCACAATGCGTAAGCACCCTTTCGATGCTATGTTTAAGAGAGACGAAAGAAAACCCAGGATATTAAGACAATATGTTGGCACCGTTTCGATCCTATGTTTAAGAAAGGAAAGAAAACCCAAGATATGAAGCCAAGATATTAGGCCAAACAGCTGCTAAGTAAGAATCGTGGGATGTAGCATCTGAAGTTTTCAACGAGGTAACCATGCTCATACTTGCTTCTGCACCCGTTTTTGTGCTAATCATCTTATTTACTAAGTCCCCTAGCCCCGGAAGCCCTATAGAGCCCGTATACAACCCTATGAAAATTAACTCTAAGCTTGCTTACCGGGCACCAATACCACAAACCTAAACCCTTGTACTACTGTTGATGATAAAAATCCTGCATGACCTTGAAGGCCCTAAACTATGGGAATTATGGGTATATTCCTTATGATGGGTAATGCAGGATGATTCATATCATCAACCGTAGCCCTATAGATCCCTTCAAGGGGGACCCTTACCACCCTAAACCCCACCACCCTAAACCCTAACCCCTAAAACCCTAAACCCACCTTACTTGCCAAGTTCCAAAGGTTCTGCACCCGAGCGGCTCTCATACCAGGGCCGAAGGAAGCGTAGAAGGCCTGGACCGGGAGTCTCTGGAATGTTGTAAGGTTTCGGGTTTAGGGTTAAAGCTCTATATATATAATGAATTATATATATATATATCTATATATATATATATGTATACATACATATACATACACACATGTATAGTATATGATATAAAATATACGTAGATATGCTATAAAGCTAAATCTACACATGAATGTACACATACGTATATATGTATATACATATATAGATATACCCCGATGTATCTATACATAAGCAAGTGTGGCTGGGGGGTTATGAAGACTTGCACTGGATACCCCAGCAGGCCTGGAGGTCAAACCCGAGCCGTTCATTAATGGACCCTTCGCATCCAAATATCATTTGCAGCGACCGTGGACCTGCCGACTCGGAATCAGATCAGAGGCATGCGCGTTAATCATGTTTTTATATGCATTTTTCGTTTTCTGCTGTTTTGCATCTAGTTGTATTCGTATGTATGTATATACATCCATGTATGCAATCTTTTTTTGGCTAGGTGAGTGGGGGAGGGTAAACGGGTAAGGGCTTCAGAGGTCACGTGTTTTGGGTTTCGGCTCCTCTCCGGTGTCCAAATGAGCAATCCTAAACATTAACCCCTAAACCCTATAAAGCCTAAGCCCTAAACCCCTAAAGCCTTAAACCCCTAAACCCCTAAACCCCCAAAAAGGTGTAGGGTTGGCCAGGGGTCTCTTCCCGCTCCCTGCCTCGATGGGGCCATGCTCCTGTTGCTTGCAACAGCTCGGGGCTCGGAAAATGCACAGCCCTATTTCGGAGTTAGAGGGGCCCGGATGGGGATACTTGCTGCCAACTTTACAGCCGAAATTGCCGGTTAGTCCTTTGTGCTTCCTGACCTCTTCTTGGGAAGCTTCGACAATGGGCAGCCAAAAGACAAGTAAATAGAAGGGGGCACCGTGGGATGCAAAATAAAAGCATTGGTGCTACCTTAGAGAAGGCTCTTGTGACTTACTCTACTGAAGCTATGACAGGGAGTCTCAGGAATACTACGGTTGATGATACGAATCCTGCATCATTCATAATAAGGAAGATACCATAATTCCCATAGTTTTGGGTCCTTAAGGTAATGCAGGATTTGTATCATCAAGCGTACTTCTACGTAACTGTTCAGGCTCATATATTCAAACCCTAAACCTTAAACCCCTGCTAGGCTCCTAGACCCCACCTGTAGCCGGAAAGAGCTACCTTTTTAGGGTTCCTTATTTATGCTTTAAAAAAGGGAGGTCTTTTCGGATACAAGGAAACCCGAAGTAGACCTCTGAGCCGCAAGGCTCTTCTTCTTAGCATCGTCGGGCTCGCCTCGCTCGCTTGATGCGCAAGCGCATCCGCCTTGAAAACTGAACCTCACAAGGCTGCCAGGTGATACGGTGGATGATAAAAATCCTGCATTACCCATAATAAGGAATATACCAGAACTCCCATAGTTTAGGGTCCTTAAGGTCATGCAGGATTCATATCATCCACCGTATGTCCTGTGCGTCAGCTGCTGCAGCTCCCTCCTGCAAGCAACCCCGAGATGCGACAAGTTGCAACGGCGCAAAGGGCCCCGGCTGGCCGAAATGCTTGCCACATCCCGCCAAACAGTCTGAAGATCTTTGCTGCTTTTAAAGAAAGCTTGGAACTACAGAGCAGAGCAACAGAGCCAAGAACCACAAGCAACTTGAAGATCATGGTAACTCACACGGCAGTGGTCATATCAAGCACATGCCACCCTTGCAGAATACCGCCTTGAGCCTATAGATACAAGTGTAGTGTTATAAGGGTATCATAGGGGCTTAGGGTCCTTGGGTTTAGGGTTCTTGTGCGGTTTAGGGCTCTTGGGTTTGGGGTTAGCCTACCCTTTAGAGGCTGAGCTAACCTTGATGCATTGGCCTGTAACAACCAACAGTTAGGTCATGCACAAACCTACCATTGCACACTTGCCTATGCTGTAACCAACACGGCTACAGGGTGCCCTTATTCTCTCCACTTAGCCTGAATCATGAGCCCAACAAGACCACGAAATAAAGGGGCACACGAGTTCTGCCGTGGGACCTGAGGTGCTCAGACTCCACGGCACCAGGCTTAGGGCTTCCAGCTGCTCGGAAAGCTACAAGGTAATATAAGCCCGCGGTACCCAAAACCACACATACCCTTAAAGCCTTAAAGAAACCCGATACACTGAGACCCCCCCCCCTCCTGCAACAGGCCTAGCCACAGAGCCTAAGCATTCAACCCTGAACCTTAACGAAGGGGCCGACATGCCCTGTGTCTAGCAATCTAGCAGTACGGTTGGTGATAGAAATCCTGCAATATCCATAATGACGAATATACTTTAATGCCCATCGTTTACCGTCCTTAAGGTAGTGCAGGATTTATATCACCAACAGTACGATACCTTTTTTGGGGTTCAAACATCCAACCGAACGCGACTTAGTAAGCAAGGTTATAAGTACCTTATTCGGGGGTATAACTAACTATACCTATAGTGGCCTTACTTATAACCCTAGTTACTAAGTACGATGACCCTCTATTTACCCCAGCACGGTAAACGTTACTTACGAGACTACTGGACGAATTATCCCGGACCAGGTAGGAGTATTTCAGCAATCAGCCCTAAACCCTAAACCCCAAACCCTAGACCTATATCACCTAAATCCCCTAAATCCCCTAAACCCCAAACCCTAAATCCCCTAAATCCCCTAAACCCCAAACCCTGAATCCCCTAAATCCCAAACCCTAAATCCCAAACCCCAAACCCTAAATCCCCTAAATCCCCCAAATCCCCTAAATCCCCTAAACCCTAAATCCCCCAAACCCTCAACTCAGAACTCCGAAACCGCTGGAAACCCTAAGCCCTAAAGCCTAAGCCCGAAAGGCCAAACCCTGAACCCCGGGACCCTAGACTCCACGCCCCACATAATCCCAGACCGCCGGAAGGATCTAGAAAAACAGATGGCTTTAGGGCTTTAGGGTTTTAGGGTTTAGGGTTTCAGGGCTTTAGGGTTTTAGGGTTTAGGGCTTTCGGATTTTAGGTTTGAGGGCTGTAGGGGCTCCTTTCAAGTACCCCTTTAGTAGTATAGGGTCCCAAATTAGGGTATCTACTTTTTAGATCCTTCCGGTGGTCTGGGAGAAGGGATACGGGGAGCATCCGGGAAACTCTGGCTGTCAGGCCCTAAAAACCCTAAACCCGGATGTAGGGTTTAAGGCTGAGGGGGGTTTTGGGGCGTTTAGGGGATTTAGGGGAATTTAGGGGTTCTTAGGGCACAAAGGCGAACGCTCATGGTCCTGGGCCAAGTTGAAGTACTTCAGGTACCATTCGGTGAACTCGGAAAAGTCGACGCTGCCACTCCTTTGGAAAGGCAGCTTTAGAGGCTAATTCTGTGCCTTCTCAGATGATCTTGATGATCCTTTGCCTAAGTGTATCCAACACCGAAACACCTTGGGTGTTATTCATTTATGCCGCTATATCTGTATATGTGTGTATATAAATATGTATGTACAGTTATGCATATGTATATGTATGTATGTGTGAATATATATATATAATGTGTTTGATTGAACCCTATACCCCTATATATTTTGAGGCACATTTCGATAATTCATGGGTTCTGCGGGCTTCAGAGGAAGGAGCAGCAACAAAACCCGAAACCATGAGCTAAGGAATGGACACCACAAAGCAACACCCTGAGTTCCAACCCTCCCCTGCCACACCCCAAAGTTCAAAACCCTCAGCCTTAAACCCTCAAGACAAACCATAAGAAACCCTAAACCCTAAACCCCTTAACCTCTGAACCCTGAAGCCCCAAACCCCACACCCTAAGACCCCCAAAAGCCCCGCAACTTCTGTCGAGCGACCGATCTTTGTCCAACTCCTGCCAGAAGCGCTGGATGCGGTTCCTGGATTTTCTGTCGGCTTGAACCCAGAGAACCCAATACCCCCTTAATTTAAGGAATATACCTTAAACCATAATATTAAGGCCCCTATGATTTAGGGCATCTTCCTTAATCAAGGGGTATTGGGTTCTCTGGGAAGTGAGACTTACAGAAACCCACCTTTCTCAGGCGGATTTGAAGTCCCCGAGCCCTATACCTAAACACCAACACTCTGCCAAGCCTCGAAGTTGAATCATGAACACCTAAATCTTACTCCTGAATTCCCAACACCATGAACCCCTAGCTACATGAAGAGCTAAGATCTAAAAAGACGAAGCCTTAAGCCTACACTAAACCTCTAAGCCACTACACCCAATCGCCACAAACCCTGCTAAGGTCCCAGGCTCGTGTATAAGGTCCTACACCCGTGACGGCAAAGAAACATGCCCGAGGGAGCAAGATTTTCCGGTGCTGTTGCCACTTCTCCCACTGCCGGGAAGGCTACCAACGTTCCTCCTCCCATTCTGCAGGATGGCTGGTGGGCACCCTAAATCCTAAACCCCATAATTACCCTAAACCCCTAAACCCTAAACCCCTAAACCCCACCAACCTCTGTACGTCTCCGTACATCTGCAGACGCCAGGGCCGATGGCCCACCTCCAAGTTCGGGCCTGAAAGTTGGTCCGCCACACCCAGAGAGCCCAACACCCCTTAACTAAGGAATATGCCTTAAAGCATAAGGACCTGAGTATTATTATTCCTTAATGCGAAAGCCTCAAGGACAAATCGAGGCGCAACAATACAAGCTTACTAAGCACTTGATACGAGTTGAAGAATATGAAGGGCTTTCCAGTGTCAAAAAGGGCATGCTAATGAGGGCACAGCAAACGTTAATCAGGGCGTCATTGGCCTTTGAGTGGTGGCTCGATATGGGATCACAAATATTGGCTGAATAAGTTCTATACTTCTCCAAAAAGTCTTAAGCTTACTTACTCAACTAGGGTGCAAGTCTCAGCCCTGGGCCCGAAATCCATAAATCGCTATATCCAAACTCCACCAAATTACCCCGTGTCCCCCAATGCATAGTAACCAGTATTTCAGGGCTTCGGAGTGTGTGGATCGTTGCCTACGCACAAGGCAGTCTTAAACGCCCTACGAACAGAGGGTGGCAGAGATTTTCTTGAAGCACAATGTTCCGTGGGTAGGGTATAACATAAGGGCCGTAAGAACTAGAGTAGGGTTTGGCATATATCATACTCATATGATTTTTTTTTACTTTAGTTATTCCGACCGCTATGTTTGAGTTGTAGGCTTAGTGGCCTCGGAGTGTAAGATTCAGGGTGCCCCATCGCACCCTTCGGCCTTGGGTTCTGCCCCCCATCCTGTAACAGTCCAGTGGTCATACTACGGGCGGGCTGTATACAACTATGTTGGAAATGTTGTCCAACTGGTATTTAGGTTTCCCAGTAACCCCTTCGAAAATAAGGGTGCCCTTTTTCCTACTATTAGGGTTTAATAAGGGAAGCCAGAAAGAAAAACCCAGTATAGACTTGGGGCAGTACCAAACTCAAACCCGAATTCGAGGCTTCTACCTTCTACTTGTCCAGTATCCTAGGGGAACTAAATTCTAACCTTTGGGAATACGAAGCGTTGATGATATAAATCCTGCATTACCCACAATAAGGAATATACCATAATTCCCATAGTCTAGGGTCCTTTAGGTCATGCAGGGTTTATATCATCAACAGTAGTATCCGAAAAGGCTAAAGGCTACCTACTCCACAACTAAGTCTAGCTTTTTCTGGTGATCTGGGTAGGGAAATTGGGAGCTAAACTCTAAACCCTAAACCCTTGAACGGACCGCCCCAGGATCCAAGCACACGTACGCTTATAAACCCTTTGAAAAGCTTGAGCCACAAAATCCGACAAGAAGCAAAAGCCCTTATCCCCTAAACCCTAAACCCCAATCTTAAATCTGGTTCCCCATTGGGACTATATAAAAATTATCAGTTTTAATCCTCACTAGGTTGTATGATAACAAACGGTGAATTAATGTAACCAACAAGGACCCTGAAACCTACCTTTTCAGGGTACCTTGCTATGGTTCTATCTCTAGTCCGCTTGAGAAAGTAGGTCTTTTCGGTTACAGGTAAACCCTAAACCCCAATCTTAAATACGGTTGATGATACAAATCCTGCATTACGTTAAGGATCCTAAACTATGGGAAAAATGGTATGTTCCTTATTATGGGTAATGCTAAGGATTTTTATATCAACCGTATCATGCTTCGGCCTTGGCAGTTCACAACCAAGGCAAAGCATACTTTTTTTGGGTAGGGCTTAGAGTTTAGGGCTTATGTAGGCCCACGATATATGCGCAGTTCTCTAAATTAGAATCCTGTTGGGGGGGTCCATTATATATGGGTGCCGTATACTATTACTATTTTTGGGGACCATAAAAAAGGATCCTAATTTAGAGAACTGGCCATATACTGACCTGTCTAGTTTCCTAGGGCTTTTCTGCGATAGACAGAGACGAGAGTAACCCCGAACAGTCCAAGGTTTAGTTACCCTGAAGTAGCATCCTCAGCCGCTGGAGACCGAACATACCAGGCCCAGTTGCTGCGGCAAGTCGGACTTGTTGTTGACATGGAGCCTTGCATGCTTCAGGAAGTAGAGGAGATTCAATCAGGGAGCGATGCTGCGAGATCACACGAAAAGCCCACGGCGCCGATTTCTAAGTGTGTCTGGGTTATCAAACAGGCTGAACAAGTCTGTTGCACTACCTCCTTGGAGGATTCGCTGTACCCGCCTATGGCTTTCAATCGAATATTACAGTATAACTAAACAAGGACGATACGAATATACCAAACACCCGCACTAACTCCTTTCAAGGAACCCTGGCAGAAACCCTGAAGTGACCCTACTTGGAGGATCCGTGGACTCTAGTACTCAAAAAAGGTAACTACAGTTAGACTTGCTTCTGTCTCCAACTAGGGTATTTAAAACCCTGCTTAGGGGGTTTAGGGTTTAGGGGTTGAAGGTTTAGGGTTTAGGGGAAGTCTCATGATTCTCCAAGTGGTATTTGGGTGTCCTTTGCCGTTCTTCAGAAGGAGTTCCCGGGCCCTAAGCGGCTTTAAAGTTAGGTTTCGGGCTTGCGGTTCAGGGTTTCGGGTTTAAGGTTGATTAAGGTTTAAGGTTGAAGCTTGATGAAGGTTTAGGCTTTAAGGTTGATCAAGGTTTAGGGTTTAGGGTTGATCAAGGTTTAGGGGTTTTCGGGGTTTTTTAGGTTTAGGGGTTTAGGGTTTCGTAAAACAGTTTAGGAGGTCTTCTAGCCTTCGGTGTTTAGAAGGGGGGGGTCTTGTCGCGGTTCATAAGGGGCTTTGGTAAGGGCAGGATTCCATATATCCCAGACCACCGGAAGGATCTAAAAAATTAGATCCCCTTCTTGGTGGGGTTCCTTTCAAGTACCCCTTAGTAGTATAGGGTCCCCCAAAATTAGGGGATCTACTTTTGTAGATCTGGATAAGGGACCTGAAGATCCTCTAGTCCGAGTTCTTCCCAATCTTCGGTTTTAATAAGGAGATCCCCCCCCAAAAAAATAGAAGGGGCAAAAGGGTACTACTGGGGAACCTAGATTCCAAAACCCTAAACCCTAAACCCCTAAACCCTCAGCCCTAAGCCCTAAGCCCTAAAAGGGAACCTCGTCAATGGGCAGGTCTCCACAACTACAAGCTGAAGGCTACTGCTTCGGCTTGCAAAAGGTGCTTTATAATTTAGGGTTTCGGGTTTTTAGGACTTTTAGGGTTTAAGGTTTAGGGTTTTCAGGGTTTTTAGGACTTTTAAGGTTTTTAGGGTTTAGGGTTTTTAGGGCTTTTAGGGTTTAGGGTTTAGAAGGTTGTGGAAGGCTTTAAGCTTTAGGGTGGAAGGGTTCAGGGCTTTTGGGCTCCGAGCTGGGATTCTCGGGTCGTTTGCTTGGAGGAACATGGACGTTAGGAGGTGGGAAATTAAGTAGAGTCACCCGTGCCTTAAGTGGGATCCTAGTTGGGGTTATGGTACGTATAGTTACATAAAAGAGCTGATTACTAGATCTCCCGACCCTCCAAGTAGGTTAAAGGAAGCTACAGGTGGGGAGTTTAGGGTATATAGGGCTTCCATAAGGCTTCTAGAAGGTATATATAGACCTTCTAGAAGGCTCCTATAACGATAACTACCCACCTGAAAATGTCCTAGAGTAAACCCCTACACCCCTAATACCCTATATACCCCTTATATAGTTACATAAAACCCCTATATAACCCCAAGGGTCCCTTTAAGGGTCTCTCCTTTCGTCCCTTGAAAACTAGGGCCGAGCGGCAGCTTCAGCATCATAAGCTCAAACTCTCCGTACTCGATGACACCTGGGTCTTTAGGGCTTAGGGGTTTAGGGTTTAGGGGTTTAGGGTTTAGGGGTTAGGGTCTGACAGAAAAGGGGCATGGCTCGAAGAAGGGGGCAGTAGATTCTGGGTCTGAAGTACGGTTGATGATGTAAATCCTTCATTACCTTGAGGGAAGGAATACGAATGTTTCAAGCCGCTTGATAGTACGGTGTTTAGATCCTCTGATAGCATAGGAACCGAGTGGGGTCCCTAGACCCCTAAACCCCTAAACTCCATTGCGGTGTGGTTGCTTGTGGAGTTTCGGGACGTTTTTCGCTAGTCACCACGACGGCTCGATGAAACCATGCAATGTGAACTCCGGGGTTTAGGGTTTAGGGGTAACTCCAGACAATAAACTTAAGGAGACATACTGAATATACCTTAGGTTTCGGTTTTAGGGTTTAGGGTTTAGGGATAACGGGATAACCCGTAAATGATATCATCTTAAAACAAAGGGTTATTCCATAACGAAAATAGACAACTGCTCCTAAACTACACCCAGCAAAACTTCTTGACAGTTGCCCCCGCATCCTGCTCTCCATCGAATTTCAGGGTTTTCGGGGCTTAGGGTAGTGCTCACTGGCTTCAGGTTTCCTAATTCTTGGACCCGGCGCTGTCAATCTTTCGACTCTCTCTTCTCTATCCGAGTTGGTGCGAGCCACCTGACTTGTCGAGATCATAGCTGTCGTACTGCAGCTTCACCTTGTCACAGGCAAGGTCTTATGTGGAGATCTGGCAAAATAGTTTAGAAAAGCTTCCAGAATGTTTGGGCCTAATCAATTACCAATACCATTTTGGGGGTTCCTTATTATGATTATAGTATAATGGGCCCCAAAACCCTATTCTAAGTGTTAAGGCCTCTACATTACAGCCTCAAAATACGTACGCTGTGATATACTCACGAACCCAATTCTGGTTAATGATGGGCCGTGCCGGAAGGATTCCTAAGGCATCCTGAGGGTGCATAAAACATATGAGAAATGTTACTACCACCACCTCCCACAAAGTGAGCCTAAACCGTAAACCCTGCACCCTCATATGAGTAGTTCTCTAAATTCGGGTCCCTTCTTAGGTCCCCTCGTGAACATGACCCCAATTTTAGAGAACTGCCCATAAGGGACTTTCCGAAAGTTAGGGTACCTTATTTGGGAGCCTTATAATAAGGATCCTACTATGTAGGGTACTATTTTCGGGTCCCCTATCTTCGGAAAGTCCCCTGTGTTAAAGGAATCTACAGGTGGGGAGTTTAGGGTATATAGGGCTTCTATATGGCTTCTAAAAAGGATATAGACTTTCTATAACGCTCCTATGACGGCCATTACCCAGCTGAAAATGTCCTAGATGGTGGAGTAGAGGCAAAAGTTGCATCAAACATGGGCATCCTAAGCCCTAAACCCTAGACCCCTCTGCTTTAAAGACTGTGGCCTTGTCCAAGTCAAGGCAGGAGCAGTGATGCTTCTTCGCCAAGGCCAGGGTCAAGTCGTCCGACTTCCTGTGGGCGCTGAAGAAGACCCCAACGGTTTAGGCTTAGGGGGTTCAGGGGGCCCTTTTAAACCCCAACATCCTAAACCCAAAACCCTAAACCTTAAACCCGGAACCCAAAACCCACAACCCTAAACCCAAAGCTCTAAACCCCAAACCCTAAGCCCGAAACCCCAAAATCCCCCTTGATGAAGGCTATTTTTAGTGTTTAGAGCTGCAGGTTTCCGATGACCGGGGGCCTTTTCAAACACAGAGTGCCGGCTTTAGGGGTGAATTTAGGGTTTAGGGTTTAGGAATGAATTTAGGGCTTAGGGTTCAGGATTGAATTTAGGGTTTAGGGTTTACTCCCTTCCCCAACAAGTCAGGGAAATCAAAGGCGAAACTTTCAGGGTACGTACTACTAAGTTATAAGAACCCCAAGAAAATTTAAAGGTTGGGTACTGGGGAACTAAGCTAAGCCCTAAACCCTAAATACACTAAACCCTAAACCACCCAAAAAGTTTAAAGGTTGGGTATATATTGGGGAACTAAGAATGATGAGGTCCTAGGGTGTGGGTGGCGTGGTTTCGCGCTTGGGGGAATCGGGCTTAGGGTTTCTTTGGGGTTTCAGGGTTTAGGGTTTAGGGCTTGTTTAGGGTTTAAGGCTTGTTTAGGGTTTAGGGTAGTTTGAGGATTTCAACTCATGAGTTTAGGGTTTAAGGAAGCTTGTTGCAGGGTTGGCTAACGAGCTTATTTAGAGGATCACGTGACCTTACAGGTAATGAATCATGTAAGTATGGTCATAGTACTTACAATCCCAATTAGGGTACTTAAAAACCTTACTTACTAAGCCCACCCAATTACCCTAAACCCCAAACTCTTGTAGTACCCCTACAGATCCCTTAATGGGACCATTCTGAGAGCGGATAAAGTTGGCGGTGGCAGCTTGAACAACCACTCAAGGGACTAAAGGAGAGACCCTTAAAGGGACCCTTGGGGTCACATAGGGGCTTTATGAGACTATATATGGAGTGTATAAGGGTTATATAGGGTATTAGGATTAGGGGGTCCCTTCTAGGGGTCCCTCCTAGTGTCCCTTAAACCTCAGTAGTAACCGATGCCGACGCTCTTATGGCTGTCTATTGTGGCGACAGCTTCTCCGGTGGGTCTCCACTGTATACAAGACGGAGACCGTGGATGTTGTCATAACGGCAAGCAAGCCCAACGTCAGCAAGAGTACAGTAATGAGTTTTCAGTGCTGTGTACAACTGAGGCGGCAACGCGATAGACCCTCTTGCTGTGCATGTCGAGCGTAAGTTCTCTGCCAACAATTTCAACTACATGCTCTTTACACGACTCGACCCATGGGACTCAGTGACAGATGGGATCGCTTTAGGAAGTGGGGCCACAGCAGGCTTCCACTCTCCTCGGCAGGCTTCACATGGGAGTTTCCGAATATAAGGGGTACCGCATTTTGGGGTATTTATAATAAAGATCCTGTTATTTAGGGTGTTATATTAGGGTCCCCTATTCTCGGAAAGTCCCACATTGTTTAGTTGGAGGCAACAATCCTGCCCAAAGAGGATTGGCATGCAGCGTCGAAGTTAAGAAGGAGGTCATCGTGTCCATGTAGATCGGTCAAGGTTAACAGTTGAGTCCTGCACAGTAGTGCAACGAGCACGCCTTGACTTCGTGGTGCAAGCACACGAGAACTGCAGTTAGGGCACCAAAAACCTGACTAACTTACTTCCCCAGTAAGCGAGGGAAATCAAGGGTTAATGTTTCAGGTTATTACTAAATTATAAGAATGCAAAAAGTATAAAGGTTGGGTATTGGGGAAGTAAGGAACTAAGCTCAGCCCTAAAGCCTAAACCCTAAAGGCTAAGCCCTAAACCCTAAACCCTAAAAGCTAAGCCCTAAACCCTGAATCCTAAGCCCTAGGTCCCCTCATCTTCCAAGAGGGATCTCCTATGCAACGCCGGTACCAAGCTTTTTCACTGGCAAAAGCCAGGGTTTCGGGGTGGGAGGGTTTGGGGTTTAGGGTTTTTAGGACTTTTAGGGTTTTCGGGTTTAGGGTTTTAGGGTTTAGGGTTTAGGGCTTCGGGGTGGGAGGGTGGGGGTCGGGGGGGAGGTTTGAGGGGTTCGGGGTGTTTCTTTCTATGCCGGATGTTCTGCAAGAGTTTGCCTTGAACTCCGAAAACAGACATCGAATTCTGGAACCCCAACTCCCGCAACCCCACAGCATGAACTCCTTAGACCGGGGTTTCATGGGGTTTCGATGGAGTTTTTCAGGGTTTATATATGCTTGTTTTTGGCTTGAGTGTGGGGGCCTTGAACAATACGACAGGTTTGGGGCAGGATCTTGTGGATAACCCTTCCATTCTGAAGCACAGCAGCTACGTGCCGAATAAACCCTCAACCCTAAACCCTAAACCCCTAAACCCTAAACCCTCAACCCTACAAGACCCTTGTCACACCTGTTCCCGGTTCGCAACCTTCTAAAGTCAGCGCCTGTCTTCAATGGAGGTGTAGCTCTTGTGTGACAAGGCGAAGATGTGGTCGCGATACCACTCCATGAAGTGCCTAGCACAACTTTGGGCCTTGGGGATCAGGGGACTTTGTAACTAGGGTTGGCTGTGCCCCAACTGGTGTTAGAAGTAATTATAGCTATAGTTACCTTATTTGCAACCCTATAGTTTCTAAGTCCCGTGATCCTCCAACAAGGGTTTAGGGCAAAGTCTGCGCCAACAGGAGGGTCTATGGTTTTGGGCTCTTGGCAATCGTTCTTGTTCTGGAGAAGCCGAACGAGTTTGCATACTGTAGAGGCCCAAATAATTACTAGTACTATTTTGGGGCTTCCTTTTTATAGTTATACTATACTGGGCCCCAAAACCCTATTCCAATTGATAAGGACCCTATATTACTGTAGCTTCCTTTGCTTACTTACTTCCAAGGATGGTGATGCGTGGGGAGACCCTCCTGGGCACAAGAGCCTGCTTGGAGGATCATGGGACTTAGTCACTCGGGTTTATAAATAGAAATAAGGTAACTATAGCTATAAGTTACTTCTAACAGTTAGGGTACTTATGACCTTCCTTACTAAGTCCCCGGATCCTCCAAGTTTAGTCCCAAGCAAATGGACCTGTATTGTCCGAGCCCATAAGAAGGGGACAAGCCTACCTTTGTCAAGGCTTTTGCGGTAATGTAGGATACAAAAACATGGTCCTACGGTTGAGCATGACCCATAGTTAGCAATAGACCATAATTTCATAGTTTAGGAACCTTCAGGTCATGCTAAGGATTTATATCACCAACTGTAACCCACCGAAATATTCAAGTCGCATTCCTACAGTGAAGGATATGGGTCCGAACCACAAGTCCTAAACCTCAATCAGCGAGCAGATCCCAACCTTCGAAGATCTGTGCCCTAAACTCCCTGGTTCCTAGTAGGGCATGGAGGGATGGGTTTTTGGGACTAATTACTATAGGGGACCTTAAGGGACTATCACTGGGATTCATTCCCCCATTTCCTACTAAGAACCAGTCAGCAAGCCCTAAACTCAGGAAGAGACCCTTTGGACGAAGTAAGGCTTTTGTTCCTCTAGGGCCTCAAAGAAAGTGATGTTTCGTTCAAAGAACGTTCTTGACCCATAGTGAAAGGATTTTCAAATTCTGCGTATAAGCCCGTTTAAAGGGATTGTGCCGCAACCACAGAAGCCAAAGGAACCACACATGTGTTCCCAATCAAGCCCCAAAGCCAGTAATATAGGGGCCTGAATAATTAACTATACTATTTTGGGGGTTTCTTATTATACCTATAGTATAAAGGAGCCCAAAACCCTATTCTAATTATTAAGGCTCCTACATTCGACGTTCAACTTCAATTTTTGAGCACAGCTGGCTCCGTCAGTGTTGGGAAGATCGCGTCTATTCTGCTATCACGGAACCCCAGAACCCGAAACCCTAAACCCAAAAAAAGCACCAGAACCCTAAGCCCTAAACCCTTAACAACAGCATTATGCTACATGTCTAGGATCCCCAGTATCGCCTTACCAATAAGGGTACCCTTTCTGCTGGTATTCAGTCTTTGATAGGGGAACCCTAAAATACAAAACGGATAAACAAGGGCAAAAGGGTACCAATGGAGAAGCTAGATATTGCTAGCTTGACAGGCTCTGCACTAGCCTGTTTCCATGAAGTCTGCACCCACCAGGCTCAAAACGGCCAGTCATCTGAATCAATGAGCTTGTTTTGCTGCGTAGCCCAAGGAATCTTCAACAATGGGTGGTTTCCTAAATTAGGGTCCCCTTTAGGGTCCTTTTTATGAGGGTGCCGTACTATACTGGGGACCTAAAAATGGACCCTAATTTAGCGAACTACCGATCTGGCAGCCAGGACATTCCATCCACTGAGCATGCACCAGCTACTTCGAGGCTGAAATCACATAGCCCCCTGGATATTTCTGGATTCTCAAGGAGGTGCGTCGTTGACAATCACTGGCTTGGACAACCCGATCAGGCCGTCAGTTCGACATTTTGTTCGACTGGGTTCGTTTTAAATACTCGTAGGATCATGGTACTTAGTAGCCAGGGTTATAAGATAGCTATGGTTAGTTTGAACTGCTTGTTGCTTAACTTGCGGTAAAATAGGGAACGTAATAATTAGAATTCTACTGTAGTTGTAATAAGGAGCCCCCCCATAATAGTATTGGTAATTATTTTAGGCCCCTACATTACTTCTAGCCTTGCATCCCAAGCCCCCATGATCCAAGCAAGCCTTGTCCAACCTCTTTGCCGACCAAGAACCCCTGAATCACGCAGCCTCGGCCTAAACTGAACCCTACACCCTAAAGCGAAACGAAGCCTAAAGCCTAACCCTAAAACATCGCCAAACCATAGGCCCTGAACCCTTAACATACACCAAACTCCCAAACCCTAAACCCTGAACCCTAGCTTAAACCTCAAGTCCCTGAAACTCCAACACCCCGAAAAACCGCTGAACCCTAACTACAAAACTCCCCCCTAAAAGAAA